AGGAGGAGTCTTACGTGATGGTGCCGGAAACTGGAAAGGTGGATTTGCGTTGAATATAGGGATATGTTCAGCACCTTTAGCAGAGTTGTGGGGAGTTTACTACGGGCTGTATATTGCGTGGGAGAGAGGAATCACGCGGTTGGAGCTCGAAGTAGATTCAGAGATAGTGGTGGGTTTTCTAAGGTCAGGGATTAGTGATGCTCATCCACTGTCATTCCTAGTACGTTTGTGCTACGGCTTTATTTCAAGGGACTGGATAGTCCGGATTTCTCACGTGTATAGAGAAGCTAACCGTCTTGCGGATGGGTTAGCTAACTATGCGTTCACGCTTCCTTTAGGTTTTCATTCTTTTGATGTTAGTCCTGATGTTATTCGTTTAATTTTGTTGGAGGATATTAGTGGGTCTTCGCACCCACGAAGTGTTCGTTTGTAAGATTTTAATTTAGTTGAATAAAAATGTGGGAGGCATGCCTCCCTCAGCTTACCAAAAAAAAAAAATATTGTGTGTGTTTTTTAGTAGAACGAATCGTGTAGTATACTTATAAATATTCACAATAACGAATTGTAGAGAAAATGTAAAATTGTTTATAAATATACCCATCGTATTAATTATGATTTACAAAATAGAATTTTGTGTTTTAAAATTCTAAAATTAGACGATTCATGGGAATTAAAGCAGTCAAAATAGGTCAAAAACCGCGGATCGAGCCCACATCATCTCACTATGGGGCAGATTTGGGAAAATATATTAAACCCGCAAATAAGCGGGCCACATGGATTAATTCGAAGTGGGTCATAGGTTTAATCGGTTTTCATCCGCGGGTTGGCGGATCAGCCCGCATATTAGTATTTTTTGATAAAATTATAATTTATTCAACATGTGGTAATTTAAACAAACTTTTAATAGTATTTTTATTTATTTATTTATTTTAGTAGTATTTTAAATTTTGGTTACTTTAAAATTATTTTAACAAAATCCATGGACAATCCCGCAAATCCGCATACATTCGCGGGACGGGTTTGTATTTCATATATCTTTCAATTAATGATAATTGGCTAAAATGAGCGAAATTAATGACAAAAACGTTGATTGTTATGGAATTAGTCCCAAAAATATATGAACAAATTTATTATACGTAATTAATGTATAATATTGTTCGGAATATGCTTTTATTTTTAGTTACCATAAGTATAATCAGATTATATTTGATTTCTATAAATATTTGATGTTATTTTGATTTTTCATTATTAATTCGAAATTATATTCCAAAAAAATTTCAAAGATCCGATTTCAGAAATTGGGTCAATTTTCTGATTTTAACCCGACCCATTTTCATTTGTACTTCTCTTTTAATAGTATAGAGATTATAATTGTTTTATTAATTATGAAATCAAGACATATAAATTTTGAAGTAACATGTGTTGTTTGCCCAAAGATTTGAATCCTTCTATTTTTATCTTTCAAATCTATTGAAATCCATTTAAAACATAATTTGGATTTTGAAATCCAAAACCAAATGATTAAACGAATAACAGAGGATTTTAACTAGTATTTATAAATCATAGAACCAATAACACATGATTTTAATTAAGATTTTAAATTTAGTGTTTGAATAGTAATAAATAACTTTTGTTTGGATTTCCAAATCCTTATAAATCCATGAAATATAAAATATAAATAAATTAAAATTGAACATAAAAATTTTAAACTAAAATTAAAATATTTTTATAATTCTTTAAGTCACCACTTACAAAAAAACCCCTAAAATTTAATATAATCTTTTAATTTTAAATATTTTAATTATATTTTCATAGAAAAAAATAAGTAGTATTTTGATATGTTTATAAAAGTATAAAATAAAATAAAATTGAACGTAAAAATTTTAAACTAAAAGAATCGAAGATATTAATAATATATTGATGTGATACTCAACAGTTATTTTACCGATAGACCTAGAAATTTTAGGTAAGGTTCTCAAATAAAATTAAACCAAAAATATTAATATTGAATTAGAGATTTTCTAAGAATTGATATTTGAAGCATACATGGATAAAGAGAGAATTGAAGTCGTATATACTTTTAAAATTGGTCAAAGAGTACATAAAATTTTTTATTTTTTGATAAAGGGTAAAAGCCTTGTTCAAAAAATCGCTAGGAGTTAGTCGGGCGCTCGAGCTGGGCCTAGCACCTAGACGGAAAATCGGATATTAATCGGAGATTAATCGGGGATTAGTTTTATGTATTATTTTATTTTATTTAATGTTAAAATTAAATAAATATATGTTTTATGCATTAATGTGTTTAATGTAATGTTAAAAATAAATATATTATGCTATGTATATAAATATTCAAATAATTGTCAACAAAAAATTAATTTTGACAAAATTGATCTTGAGGAAACTCTTTTTTTGTGTGTCTAATACAAAATAGTCAATTAGTATGTAAATGTAGTATTTAAATTAATATTTATTATCCAGATTTTATAGATTAGGAAATGATCCAACGTTGATATCTTTAGTAATAAATAATAGAATTAATTACAAACACCAAAAAGAAGGAAATAAAAGAGAAATGGGAAATTGGGAATTGGTTACTAAGAGCAAACGCAATGGCGTAATTGAGACATGGGTGTAAGTTATAAACAATTGAGAAATATTGCAAAAGTTACCTTTTCAACAAAAACCGGGTGTAGACTTACACTCAAGTGTGAGGCATTATAAAAATAGAAAAAAAATGTATTCTCTCTATCTCTCTCTATCTCTCTCTCTCTTTTCTCTCTTTCTCTTTTAATTATAATAAAAAACAATTACTTACACCCACAATTACACATGCTCCACTGCGTTTGCTCTAAAAAGAACGAAATAAAACATTCGTTAACATCAAAAGTCCCACATCGGTTAGGCAAGAGAAAGAGAACTGAAAACTTTGCTTATAAATATTGCACTCTCCACCCATCTTGCATTACCTGAGGCCCAATTAATAATTGGGGCCCAACAAATAAAAGTTTTACAAGTTAGAACTTTATTTATTTGGTTATTAATCCGATTTTCAACGCCGAGAGTAGAGGCCTGGGCAAAATAACTGGAATCAAATACCTGAACCGAAAAATTCGAAAAAATATCCGAATAGATCCAAACCGATTTTTAAAAATACCTGAATGGATCCTACACCTCCTACCCGAAAAAAACCCGAACCGAACCCGAACCGAATCCAATACACGTGGGTACCCGAATACAAATATACACCTAAAAATATTAGTTATATTTATACTTATAATATCCGAAATACCTAAAATTACAATCATAAATCCGAATATACTAGGTATTTTTGAGTAATTCGGATACATTTGGATATATTGGTTAAAAAGTAACTAATGATGTAGTTTTATTTTGGGTAATTTTAGTATTTTAAGATATTTTTGGTTATATTTGGGCAAAGAGTAACCAATGTATTTTTGAGAAATCGGTTATTTCGGTTAGATTTGGGTATATACGAGTAAAAAACCCGAACCCGACCCGAACCCAAAAATATTTCGGGTATTTTTGGTTATTTTCGGGTATTTTGCTTTTTTTTTTATATTAAAATATCCGAACCGAACCGAATTTTTAGAATACCCGAATGGGTCTCGACCCCCTACCCGAATAGACCCGATACCCGAAAAAAAAGAACCGAACCCGAAAGGGTACCCGAATGCCCAGGCCTAGAGAGTAGTTAGGCGGTCGAAAAATCGGTCAACGATTAATTAGTCCGATTATGACATAATCGCGGCGGTTGTGTCCCGAGGAGCGCCTAGGCGGCCGACTAGGCGGCTAGGCGCACGCGTTTTTGAACAGGGGGTAAAAGTGTAAATGCTTTCTAAAGAATTTTGTGACGACAACTTTTGTTTTTGTAAGCATTTTCGTTTTATTTGGTTGCATTCTTTGTTTTCCTTTCAAACAGATATCGTGAGAGATGAGATTTGTGATTTAGATAAATGGAACGATGATAATGGTTTTGGAGTATAAATTGCAGAACAAAAATGAAAATATTAACATAAAGTGGCTTGATGATGAGTATTCGGGACTGATTTGGATGGCAATATCTATTTTTATCATGGGATGGTGATTTTATACCACCAAAAACTTATGAACTGATGATAAACTATACTCCAATTGAAGCATAAATTTTGGATCAGGATGTCGAAGTTGACGTAAAAAATCTTACACCACTTAGTCATTTTAGTTCAGACAAAATTGTACTTGGAGACTGATTTAGCTATATTGGTATTGGAAATCAACTTGTATTTCACTAGATACATTGTCAATGATACGTTAATTAGGAACCAT